CCCCTTTGCTCTTACATCACTCGGTGCTTGGGGGGCTAGTGTACTGGCCAGCCGAGTTGCCGACTTGTCCCTCACCAATCTGCTGACTCGGTCAAAGGTTTACCAGCCTAACCAAGCAGTAAGCTCATTATTGCCGAGCTCCTCAGCCCGACCATGAAACATGGACATCGGAACACCACATCGGCCCAAAGAAGCCACGTCATCAAACAAATAAAAATACAATCTTGTCACCGCGCCACCCATGCGTTATGGGAACGAGGTGACGGTTATGACACATGGCGTCATGACAAATAGGCGTACGCGAAAAGTCACGACCCCTTGTCGAGCTCGGTCTTAACTCCTCGACCTACGGGCTTCGGAGCTCGGGGGGCTAGTGTACTATCCGTACTGCTATGCCGAGCTCGAGCTCGGCATCACAGCGCGGAGTGACCTCGGACACGTGCTAGGCGACATCGGCTCGCTATTCAATTAGGTCATAAACTGATCTCGGGCCCAAGGCCCAACAAAACCCTAATACACACAAAGGTACGTGCATTACTTATACGGGACTCATATTCATACAAACCCTAACTTTGGCTTTAGAGTCTCTTTTGCAGGTACCACCCCCATCTTGGAGCATCAACGTACCCGTGAAGGAGGTTCACCGATCTTACCCAGCGGAACATCCCTATCTCAGATTCTCGGTAAGAACATTACCCAATAAAAAATTAATCTTGGAAACCCATTATGAATCACAAATAAAGAAACTTTCCAATATTTAAATGGATTAATCAAGTTTGGACAATCAAAACTTCTCAATTTTCACAAGCAACACCACCAACCTTAGAGGATTTGAAACACTCAAGATTTAAAAATGAGTAAGTACAATAAGTTTGCTGCCTTGAAACAGAGGAAACATTTCAAAAATTTTATAACAAAGTTTATGGGTTAAATCTCAATTTAGTCAGAAAAGATACTAACCTCACAATTATAAAACTTCCTTGTACTATCATTATCTTGAGCCCAAGGAATTGAAAGAAATCGAGGAGTTGCAAGTCCAACAATCTGTATCAAGAAAAATTAGAGAGAAAAATTCTTTTCTTTTGTTCAATATCAACATGTCTGCAATGGATATTTTAAATTCTTTGAGTAGTAAGCCAGAAAAATTTACTGGTGAAAATTTTTTATGTTGGCAACAACAGATGAAATTTTGGCTTACAGAGTTGAATTTATTTTCTGTTATTTTAAATGGAAAACCTGAAAATTCTTCTGAATGTGCCTTGGTTGAAGCTAATTCTTCTAGTGATAAAGATATTTGTGTCATGGTCGTATTTTGAGTGCTCTATCTGATAATATTTATAAAATATTTTGTCATACAAAAACTGCTTTGGAGTTATGGGATGCTCTTGAACTAAAGTATGGTTCTGCTGAAAAGGGTTTAAGAAAATACTCTTGTGAAAGAAATATTTATTTTCAAATGGAAAAATAGAAAACCAAATTTGAAATATCTCAAAGTATGGGGGTGTCTTGCAAAGGTAAATATTCCTATTAATAAGAAAAGAAAAATTGGTCCCAAGACGGTTGATTGTGTTTTTCTATGATACTCTTTACATAGTACTACTTATAGATTTTTAATTATTAATTCTGAAGTTTCTGAAATTTCTAATAATATAATTATGGAATCTAGAGATGCTGTTTTCTTTGAAAATATTTTTCCTTTGAAGAATAAATTGTCTAAACCTGTTTATGATACTTCTAGCTCTGTTTTACCTTCTAGTAGTACTGTTAACAAGGATTTTGAACCTAGAATTAGTAAAAGAATTAGAAAAGCTAAAGATTTTGGTCCTGAATTTTATTCTTTTTTACTTGAAGATGATCCTAAAACTTATAGTGAAGCTATGAGATCTGTTGATGCACCTTTTTGGAAAGAAGCTATTAATGATGAAATAGATTCTCTTAAAATCAATAAAACTTGGTTTTTGACTGACCTTCCTCCTGGTTGCAAGAGTATAGGTTGTAAATGGGTTTTTCGGAAAAAATTGAGAACAGATGGCTCCATAGATAAGTTTAAGGCAAGACTTGTTGTTATTGGTTATAAACAAGTAGAAGGTGTAGATTTCTTTGATACATACTCTCCTGTTTCTAAAGTTACTACTATTAGAGTTTTAATTGCACTTGCATGTGTTTTTAATTTGGAAATTCATCAAATGGATGTAAAAACTGCCTTCTTAAATGGTGACTTGGAAGAAGAAATTTACATGAATCAACCTGAAGGTTTTATAGAACCTGGAATGGAAAATAAAGTTTGCAAGCTTGTTAAATCCTTGTATGGTTTAAAACAGGCTCCCAAACAATGGCATGATAAATTTGATCAAGTTGTTTCTTCATATGGATTTCAGTTTAATAATAGTGATAAATGTGTTTATGTGAAACAATTTGATGATAATTCATGTGTTATTTTATGTCTCTATGTGGATGATATTTTAATCTTTGGTAGTAATCTACATGTTATAAATGATGTGAAGTCTTTCTTGTCTAGTAATTTTGAAATGAAGGATCTTGGTCTTGTTGATGTTATTTTAGGTATTAAGTTGATTAAGAATCATGATGGTATTGTTTTGACACAATCACATTATATTGAAAAAATATTAAAAAAGTTTAATTATTTTGATGTGAAACCAGTTTCTACCCCATTTGATCCTAGTATTAAATTGAAGAAAAATATTGGTGAAAGTGTCTCTCCTCTTAAATATTCTCAAATTATTGGTTCCTTGTTGCATTTGTCTAATTTCTCAAGACCGGACATTGCATATGTTGTTGGTAGGTTAGGAAGATATACTCATAATCCTGATCATTCACATTGGCTTGCTCTAGAAAGGTTATTTAGATATCTCAAAGGAACTGTTAATTATGGCATTCACTATGCATGTTATCCTGCTGTTATTGAAGGTTTTTGTGATGCAAATTGGATTTCTGACTCTGATGAAACTAAATCTACTAGTGGTTATGTCTTTACTTTAGCTGGAGGTGCAGTAGCTTGGAAATTTGCAAAACAAACTATTATTTCTCGTTCTACTATGGAAGCTGAAATAATTGCCTTAGATACTGCTAGTAGTGAGGCTGAATTTCTTAAAAATTTTACTATATGACTTGCCATTATTAAATAAGCCTATACCTCCAATCTCAATGCATTGTGATAGAAGTTGCCATTGCTAAAGTTACTAGCAAAAACTTTAATGAAAAAAGAAGGCACTTGAGAATAAGACACAAATCTATTAGAAATTTGATAACTCATGGTGTTATTTCTGTTGATTTTATCAGGTCTGAAAATAATCTTGCGGATCCGCTCACAAAAGGGTTGACGCGTCAACAAGTACTTGAATCGTCGAGGGGAATGGGACTAAAGTCCATCAACTAGTTGCAACAATGGACACCCGTCTCCACATAAATGGCGATCCCATAAATGGAGTTCAATGGGTAATAACGAAATTGTTTGTTAACTAAGTACACCATTATAAATTGCAAAATTATTGCATGTTCCATTCCTATGGCGAGGTGTACTCTAAAGTAAACTGTGACAGTAATAAGGTTGAGGTATTCAAATATTTATATTTATTGTGTTAAAATTAAAAATACCTCTTAATGGACCCAATGACAATTGTTGTAGGGGTGGGTGTCACAGACCACCCTTGGAAGGGTTCACCTAGTGAGTGTGGTGGTGGGGCCGCTACTGTGAGATATGGACAATCTCTAAATGACACTCACGAAACAAGATACATGCGCAAGGCCGTAATGCGCTCCACTGATTAGAACTCAAATGAACACCTTTATTATACGTGTTATGTTCTAAAGTTTGGTTAAAGGGATATGGCTCAAGACAATCATGTCTCCATATTTTCTCAAATGGAAGTTCATATGCACTAGGTATAAGGCTCAAACCCGGAAGGTTCCTTGTACTGAAAATATAATATATCATGCTCCATTAAAATATTTAAGTTTATATATATATATATATTTATTATTTATATATCATTTTTTTTCTATATTTAAATTTTAAATTAGTGGGGGATTGTTGAGAAATTATTTTATAATTTAAAATTTAAATTAAATATTTAATATAATTAATCTTTTTCTTATGTAACCGTTTTCAAACTTTGACCAAGCCTCACAATTCTTTTTCCTATTAGTTAGTATACGTGCACTTGCTCCGAAAGTTTTGCGGAAAAACAAATTTGAAAACGGTGCACGTACTGTTGAGTTAAAAAGAGGTGCCTATATTGTGCTTATAGATGGTGAACCTGGTACGGGAAACGTGGTAGAAAAATTATACTGCAAGTTTATATTTTCTCTCCCTCAATATTTCCTCTACTACAAAATTATAATTTTGGAGCGGTGTTCTTTGATTCGGGGATCTTTCGCTGCACTCGAACGGTCTAACGGGTTGACGTATCTTGGGAGAGGAGCGCACTATAAGACTCAAAATTACCAGTGCAGTGGGGGCGTTTTCTCTCTAAGGATAGCGCTCTGCGTGCTTCAACCCAGGCTACTCTAAACTTCTTAATTTTATTTACTCTTTGTGTTTAACTAGTTGTTACTGATTGCTCTGTTTTAATTTTATAATATTCATTGTGTTGTTGATATTGGTTCTATTGATAAATCTAAATATTTATTTTTTCTTGTGATCTATTTTATTTATTTTCCAACAATTTGTAATAGAAGTATCAAGAACCCTCAGCATCATCTTAAGATCAAGGAGTTGCAAGAAATCCAAGAAGAAAGTAAACGAGATTTGTGACGGAAATATCAAGAACCGTCTTCTTTTCTTTAATATGCTCACACTGTCTTCCATCGTTGCCCTCTACCACAAAACACTCTTCTCAGTCTTCCATAGCCAACATCCCAGTACTCAAAAATAGTACTTTTTGAGTACAAAAATGGTATAATACAGAAGTCTAAAACATAATAGTATACAGAAATACAGAAGTTAGAACCAAGAAAATTAGTCAGAAAATTCACTAACCTTGCAATTAGACAATTGCACATTATTATTAAGAAGAACTCCACTAATCTGAATTAAGAACCATAGGCGTATCAGTGAGAATTTGCAACAGAGTGTGTGCCTTAGCGGATATTCAAGAAAATAAAAAGAAAATGTATTGAAACCCTAACCTTATAAACCCAAATCAAATGTCTCTCATTGAAAGAAACGATAGAAGCACATCAAGAGAGACATGAAGAGAAACGCTTCGTTTATTGGCTAACCATTGGTGAACGGTACGAGCGAGACAGAGAGGCGGAACGAAATGCGAAAAATCGATGAGAAAAAACTTTTATAAAAAAATCTTATATATTACTATTACTTTATTTAAAAAAATTATTTTTAAATAATTTAAAATAATGAAATTACGTATCCAAGTTTAGTTTTTTAAAATATACTTTACGAACAATAAAAATTAAAATAAGGATATTAATTAAAATTTTAAAAAATGCTTGAAATAATTGATAAATTATCATACTTATTTATACTAGCAGGAAAAAGGCACTTCGTGTCTGCATTATATTAAAAAAAATTAAGAAAAAAATGAGAAGTTACTCATAAAAAAGTAGTTATTAAAAAATAAATAAAAAAATAAAATGGTTCATGTAAAAATGAAAACCAAAGTATTTATTGTAAAAATGATTTATTAGTTTTAAATTCTTAAATTTGATTAAAAAATAATTTTTCTAATTTTTTTTAATATAAAAAATATATAATGGTCCAAAAAAAAGTAGAGACCAAGGTAGTTACTAAAAAAGGTATCTCCTTTATATATTAGTATATATTAGTATATATATATATATATATATATATATATATATATATTATAGTATCTTAAACTTGCAAGCTAAATATTCCTTTTTTATAATTAAAATTTATAAAACATAAATATTTTTGACATGTGTATTATATTTTAGATTTAAATAAAAATAAAAATATTAAAATGACCATTAAAAATTATCTATAAACATTAAATTATTTTAACATCAAATTTTACCTAATGTTATAATGTCTTTATCTTAGTTTATGATTCAGAATGTAATATTATAGGACATATTAACATTAATTTAGTCTTTCCATCAAACTAAATGTATTTATAGAACGAATCTGAGAAAACAAAATTAAGAATGAAAAATGTAACATTAAATTACAAGAAATAACCAATTAAAATTTATTTTTTTAAAGAAAATATATTATTTAGATTAATATTGAATGTCTATGAGTCATTAAAAGAATGTAACTAATTTTCATTAGAAACCTCAGAAGTTCCAGGTAAATCAACAAAGAAGTATCAAGATTTTACCATTACAGAATATATGATTCTTCATAAATGACGATATTAACAAAATATACTCTAAATATATTTATAAGAATTCTTTTACCTTCTTGATGATAACTTCCTTTTTTGTCTTTGTTATATTCAATCACTACTTATTCATCTTCAATTCAAAAATTAAAATTGTGTAACATTAAATTCAAGAATTCATTTATTGAGCTATTTCATTTCTGTCTTTCTTGTATTAAACTCTATTATTCATATCTGCATTGTGAAAATCACAATTTGACAAATATCAGAAATAAAAAAGAAAAAATACATTTCATAAAAAAGAAAAATACATTTCAATCATAATTAACAAGTCCAATAAACATACATGTAATATCTACACCACAAAGTTGTGATAATGAATCCTCTTTTCCTTTTGTAAGAGGGCCTAATAAGGAACAAGAATGGTCAAGAATGACAAGTTGCTCTCAAAGAATGGTCAAGAAACAAGTGACATATATTAGAACAATTATTTCTCAATATAAGATAGGCTAAAAACCTAATTTGGTCCCTTATAATTTTTTTTTGTTTCAATTTAGTCCCTCATTAATTTTTTGTCTCAATTTGGTCCCAAACTAATTAATTGGTTTCAATTTAGTCCCAAATTAATTAATTAGTTTCAATGTGGGACTTCCGTTCAAATTATTTAAACGGAGTTAACTTTTGGCCACGTGGATGTCACGTAGATGCATACGTGGCATCCAAGTGGATAAGAATTTTTTTTGAAAACACCTGGACCAAGAGCAAGAGTCGGAACCTAAAGCATTTTCTCTGTTTGAACAGATTATGATCGATAAGCTTGATGCTATGATAGAAATGTCAAGGAAGCATGAGTCATATTATTCTGGTATTCTTGATCGGTTTGATAATCTTGATCATGAGATTCCTAGGATTAAGGCTCAGCTTGGAATGCAAGAGGACTCGGAGTGATGCATTTAGGAGTTTTAGAAGTTCTAGTTTTAGTTTTTAAATTTCTGTTCGAAATTTCAATTTGGTTGTAATCATTTTAATTCCTGAACAATTTGCTTATTTTGGTTTGAACAATTTTAATTCTGGAACAATTTGAATTTAATTGTGTTTTTATATTGTGTTTGGTATAATTTGTTCATGGTCACATTGGTTTGAATGTTTGATACTGCTATATTATGGTTTGAACATTGATATATGTTTGTGATAAAATTGATGCATATATGTTGATGTTTGCTGGCATATTTGGGATAATGCTTATTGTAGCTGATGTATCATGTGGAATAAATTGTGTATGAAGTACATATGTGTTCATGATGTATCAAATTCTCTGAAACAAGTTCTATAAATTGTGCCTATGGTGTTAATGCTTGACTGATTTCTTGATATTAAGTTAGTCTTGTGGCATTGATTTTGAGCAAATGACTCTTATGCCTATATCTATACATATGCAATCTGCAAAAATTGATTCTCCATATCTGGACATATATATTTGTACCTATTTGTTTTTGATGTTGTTTCTTGAATTTTGATCTAGCCCAATCAATTGAAAAGAGACAATTGCAGCTGAATGAATTGGAAGAATTGTGCCTCAATGCTTATGAGTCAGCTAAGAATTACAAGGAAAGGGTGAAGTTGTATCCTGACCGAAAGATACTAAAATGAGAGTTTCATTTGGGACAATTTGTGCTCCTTTACAACTCCTGGTTGAGACTCTTTCCAGGGAAGCTGAAGTCAAAGTGGTCAAGGTCATTCAAAGTTAAGCAAGTTAGGCCTCATGGAGAAAATCAAATGGAGGATCTTGCCTCCAAAGAGAGCTAGGTGGTAAATGGCCAAAGACTCAAACTCTACCTAGGTGGTGAAATTGAGCAAGCTTATTCCACTGTTGGATTGAACAACCCCTGAAGTCTTGGCTTGTCAAGCTAGTGACATAAAACGAGTGCTTTATGGGAGGCAACCCATCATTCCTAATCCAAAAACAAGTTAGCATGCCATTAATTTCAATTATTTTTGTGTTAGTGTGTTTTAGGTGTAGGTACATGGTTAAACATTGTATTTACTTCTTAGTTGAGAAAGCTTTGTGATTGTGATGGCTTGAGGAACTTCATATTGAGCTATACTTGAAAAGTTTGAAAAATCTGCAGTAAATTTGAAATTCACGCTTAACATGAAGTTCCATGCTAAGTTATAAAAAGATTATAAGGGACCAAATTAGGTTTTTAGCCTAAAAGATATGGTGATTTAGGTGATTAAGTGACTTATTTAAACATAAAAATTAACTGTTTATAAAAAGAATTAAAAATAAATATTATATAAATTTGAACGACTAAAATTAATAAATTTCATTTTCAGAGACTAAAATCAAATACAGTTAATTTTTTAAGGAAAAAAATATATTTAATTCTTTTATCTAATATTTTTCATATTATGGGAGAGGCCCCTAGGTGGCTTGAAAAGTGCACAATATAAGCATGAACAGTGATTACATAAATCAACAAAAAAAAAAGAAAAAAGATAAGAGTTAATAACAAGAGGGAAAATTTAATGTTATGAACAAATCCTCTTATATTTAACACTTGTACAGTATTTAAGTAATGTATCCAAGGATTTTTACACTTTTAACTCCTAGTGACTCCATTGAGTTAAGCAGAACCTACATAAGAAAATATATATGTACTAGTATACACCCCTTCGGTCAGACTATAGGCCGAGTAGGCTGCCGAACCGACGAAACACACACCACGACACCCTTTCGGTTTGGGACGTGGCCGAATACACCCCTCGGCCAAAAGAGTGGCCCAAGGCTCACTTACCACGACAAGTGAAGGTGAATAAACACCCAACTAATCCCTCGGCCACAAGCATAGCCGAACACCCACTCGGCTTTGGGCAAGGCCGAAAACCCCTTCGGCTCTGGGCTAGGCCGAACACCCCCTCGACTCTGGGCTAGGCCGAACACCCTTTCAGCTACGATCATGACCTAATATCCACCTGACCCCAAAGGAATGAACTATTCGAAGATTGAATGAGGAAAAGATCTCCAAACTACCCTTCGGCCTTGAGCTCGACCGAATAACCCTTCGGCTTCAAGCTTGGCCGAAGGAACAGCCAAGTGCCTCGGTCATGGGCCTAGCCGAAGACCCCTTCGGCTTTGGGTTTGGCCGAATACCCATTCGGCCTTGAACTTGGTCGAGGACCCAACAAAGGGACAGTTCACGTTAATAGCAAGGCAGATTAAGGTACCTGATAAGCAATGCTTGTTAGAACTAATCAAGAGAGATTAACGTTAACTAAGAACATTACCCATCTCCCAAGACAGAAGGCCCACCAGGCCCAAACACGTCACTATAAATACCCAGGTGATGGGACATAAAGGAGGTACGTTATTATCCATTATAAAGGCATTTATTACTCTACACCGAATACTTACTTGATCGTCGGAGTGCCTTTGCAGGTACCCTCCCCACCCTTTGGAGATAGTGTTCGGTTGGCACTGAAGACAGGAGATCACGAAGGAGGAACGACAAGTGGATTGTTTCTACACAGGAACATTTTGGCGCCCACCGTGGGGCCGAAACCAAAACGGTTCTCGACCCTGAAGTAAGATGGTAGCAACAAGGAGCCAGCAAGAGAACGCAGCCGCCCCCCCTTTCGGGATGCCCCGAGATACCCCCGGACAGCAGACTAATAACAATGAGGAAGGAATGGAGGAATCCCACGTAGAGCGATCCCAACAACCCAATCCGTCATCGGCCATCGAGCAATTGAAGGCCGAAATGATGGAACTAAAGAGGCTCCGAGAAAAGGACGCTCACGAACTATCAGTTCTAAGGAAAGAGAACGCAGAACTCCGAAGTGACAATCGTTCTTGGCACCCATCCCATGACATCCCAAACACTCTGTCAATGAAGGATCAAGGGGAGTCTTCGGGGTGGTACAAAGAAACAAGAGAGCCTAGGCCCCCACCAGGAGTGACAACTACTACTTTCGATCAGCAACGACGACAGGGAAGGACGTTGTTTACTCCGAACATTGTCGGGGCCCGTTTGCCTGACAATTGGAAAAACTTGGCCCTGGAAAAATACGATGGAACCGCCGACCCAGAAGAACACCTTGATGCGTTCGTCACCCAGGTCAGCCTGTACACGGACGACGATGCTATCATGTGTAAAGTTTTCCCTACCTCGCTGAAAGGACCAGCGCTTAACTGGTTCACAAGGCTCCTACCCGGATCGGTAGATTCGTTCACGGCCTTGTCTTCCCGGTTTGTGATACAATTTGCCACGAGCCGTCCTCATCAGCTCACGTCTATCGCATTGGTCAACATTCGCCAAGAAAAGAAAGAACCTCTGAGAACTTTCATGGAGAGATTCGAAAAGATGACATTATCCATTCGCAACTTGGACCCGGCCATGGCAATGCATCACCTGACCACGACGCTACGGCCCGATCCCTTTGTCAACAGTCTGCAAAAAGCCACCCCGAGACCTGGACGACCTGAGGCAGAGAGTCACAAAATACATGCAGATGGAGGAATTGGCCGAATTTTGGAATCAAAACCGACCCGACCTGTTCCTCGCAAAAAAAGAAAGTGACAAGGAGCCCCCCAGGTCGCGCCCCCAAGACATGCCTGATCGTGACAAGAGTAATAGGGGGCCGAGATATATGCAGTATACGCCGCTCAACACCAGCAGGGCTAAGGTATTGGAGCAAGCCCTAGCCACTGAAGTCTTGGTCGTCCCCCGGAGAGCCATGACCCCGCCTCATGCCGATAAAACAAAAGCGTGCCAGTTCCACTAGAATAGAGGGCACACTACTGAAGAGTGCTCTGCCCTTCGGGATCGCATTGAAGACCTTGTTAAGGCCGGACATCTTCAAAGCTTTGTTCGATCATCGGACAATCGAAGGAACGATTACCGCTCTGGTAAGGGGGAGTATAGAAGGGAGAACCGAGAACGAGCACCTCCAAGGAATCGATCCCGTGAGCGCAGCCGGTCTCAGGAAAGAAACAATCAACAGCGAGATCGGAACCAACCCAGACGAGTCATAAATACCATTGCTGGAGGCTTCGCAGGAGGAGGAAGCTCTTCTTCAGCCCGAAAGAGACACTTGAGGGCAATCAAATCGGTTAACTCTATAGGCCGAGCGGCTCCAATTCATATGCCCCCTATTGCATTCACCGACCAAGATTTTCAAGGCGTCGACCCGGTACAAGACGATCCCATGGTCATCAGCGTGGAAATCAACAACTGTATCGTGAGAAAAACTCTCATCGATCAAGGGAGCTCGGCAGGCATCTTATACTGGAAGACGTTCGAGCAGCTCGGCATCCTTGAACAAGAATTGACACCCTATAATGAGCCCTTGGTGGGATTTTCGGGAGAACGTGTGGACACTTGGGGAACAATAGACCTATACACCTACTTCGGAGACAACCGGGAGGGACGTAGGATCAAAGTACGATACGTTGTGGTGAACGCTAACGCATCATACAACATCCTCTTGGGCCGACCCTCCTTGAACAAGCTTCGAGCCATCGTTTCTACCCCCCACTTGGCAATGAAATTCCCGTCGAAGGAAGGCACGATCATCACCCTGCACGCCGATCAAAAGACGGCCCGCGAATGTTACTTTGCTAGCCTGAAGGTACAACCTACTCCGAAGACAAGCCGACATCGAGATGTCAACGTCATCGGAGATGTTGGCCAACATAAGTTGAATGATAGCTTAGAACTCGACCCCAGAATGGAAGACGAGCATAGGGTCGAACCAGCGGAAACAACGATCCCGTTCCAGCTCGAAAAAATGGAGGAACAAGTCACATACTTAAGTTCCCAATTGACAGAGACCGAGGCAAGAGACATTAAGCGAGTCCTACTGAAGTATTCAGATTTGTTCGCCTGGACAGCAACCGATATGCCTGACATTGACCCTAGCTTCCATTGCCACCGACTCTCGGTCTGCCGAGATGCCAGGCCAATAGCGCAGAAGAAGAGAAAAATGGGGGGAGAAAGGGCCCAAGCAGTAAGAGAAGAAACGACCAAGTTACTACACGCGGGATTCATCAGGGAAGTCAAGTATTCCACCTGGTTGGCCAATGTAGTGATGGTCAAAATGGCCAATGGCAAGTGGCAAATGTGTACTGACTACACGGATCTCAACAAGGCGTGCCCAAAGGATGCCTACCCCCTTCCACACATTGACACGTTAGTTGATGGAGCAGCAGGTCACCAGAGGTTGAGCTTTCTAGATGCCTACTCAGGGTATAATCAGATACCTATGTACCCCCCAGACGAGGAAAAAACCACATTCATCACGGATTCAGCCAACTTTTGCTAGAAGGTAATGCCTTTCGGGTTGAGGAATGCGGGAGAAACCTACCAGCGCCTCATGGACAAGATTTTTCGTAGGCAGATTGGGACGTGCTTGGAAGTATATGTGGACGATATGGTGATCAAGTCCACCTCCACCGCCGATCACCTAAAATACCTCCACACGATTTTTGACGAGGTGAGGCGGCACCACATGCAATTGAATCTGGCTAAATGCACGTTCGGGGTTGCCGGGGGAAAATTTCTGGGTTTCATGTTGTCAAAGAGAGGTATAGAAGCCAACCCCGATAAATGCCAAGCCATCATCAATATGAGAAGCCCCCTTAATATAAAAGAAGTACAGCGCTTGGCCGGACGCATCGCCTCCCTGGCTCGATTCCTGCCTTGCATGGCGGACAAATCGAGACCCGTTATGTCTCTGTTGAAGAAAGACACCAAGTTTAAGTGGACTGACGAATGTGAATCAACCTTTCAAAACTTCAAAACAATACTAGCAACTCCACCACTGCTAGCCAAGCCGGATCCCCAGTTGGACATGATAGTATACATCTCGATTTCAAACAAAGCCATCAGCACAACATTGGTGCAAGAGAAAATAGAGCAGACGCCGGTGTTCTTCATCAGCCAGGTCCTACAGGAAGCCGAGACGAGATATCAACATCTCAAAAAAATAGTTTTAGCACTCGTGCACACGGCCAGGCGTCTCCGATATTACTTCCAGAGCCACCGAATTCTCATCCGAACGGACAGCCCCATCGTCAAAGTCTTGCGGAAACCCGAGTTAGCCGGACGGATGGTTGCTTGGTCCATTGAATTGTCACAATTCGATATTCGCTTTGAACCAAGAGGACCCATCAAGGCCCAGAGCATGGCCGATTTCATAAATGAATTCACACTGCAGATAATTCCCGAGCCACACGTTTGGACGCTGCACGTGGATGGATCGTCAAACCAGCAAGGTAGCGGTGACGGCATCATTTTGGAAGGTCCCGGCAAAACGATAATAGAACAGTCACTGCGGTTCGGATTCAAAACTTCTAATAACCAGGAAGAGTACGAGGCTCTTCTCGCAGGCCTAAGATTGGCAAAAGACCTAGGCATCGCTAGAATCCAGTGCTTTAGCGACTCGCACGTCGTGACAGGGCAAGTCAACGGCACCTTCCAGATCAAAGAGCCAACTTTACTTTTGTACTTTCATGCTTTCCAGAAACTAAAGAGCAGCTTTGACATTGTCCAAGTTACACACACTCCCAAGGAACACAATACAAGAGCCGACCAGCTAGCCAAACTAGCTAGTAGCAAGAAAGCTAGCCATTTGCGTAGTATGATACAACAAGAGTTACTAAGCCCAAGCATTAATGAAGCTGAATGTATGCAGGTTGATCAGGAAAAAACCACTGCTGGATGGATGCCATAGTAAACCACCTCCTAACCGGAGAATTGCCCGAAGATCCCCTCGAAGCTAAGAAATTGAGAACTTTGGCAGCACGATACACTCTGATTGTCGGAGAATTGTACAAGCGAGGCTTGTCGACACCACTGTTGAAATGTCTCACCCCCGAACAGGCACACTACGTTCTCCGTGAAGTTCATGAAGGTGTGTGCGGAACTCACTCGGGAAGCCGAACCCTTGCAGCCAAAGTCGTCCGCACAGGGTACTACTGGCCAACCTTAGCTACTGATTGCGCCGAATTTATTCAGCGGTGCAAACCATGCCAACAATTCAGGCCATTAACACATCAACCTCCAGAAGAATTTCATTCTATCACAACCCCATGGCCATTTTCTATCTGGGGCATGAACATACTGGGACCCTTCCCACCAGCCAAAGGGCAAGTGAAGTTCCTCATTGTGGCTGTGGACCACTTCACTAAATGGATTGAAGCAGAAGCAGTAGCCGCCATAACGACCAACAACATTTAGAAGTTCTTTTGGAAGAACGTCATCACGCGCTTTGGGATTCCTTACGCATTAATCACCGACAATGGTTTACAGTTCACCGATCGACGTTTCAATGACTTCTTGTCCGAGTTAGGCATCAAGCATAAAATGATTTCAGTAGAGCATCCCTAATCCAATGGACAGGCCGAGGCAGCAAACAAGGTCATCCTCAAAGAATTAAAGCGATGACTCGGGCAGGCCAAAGGTTCATGGCCGGATCATCTACCAGAGATTCTATGGGCATATCGTTGCACTCCACAAAGTTCTACCAAGGAAACCCCCTTTCGGCTAACTTATGGCACCGATGCCATGATTCCGGTTGAAGTAGGAGAACCTTCACTTCGACGATAGCAATTCAATGAAGATACCAACGGGGAAGCTCTCAATATAGAACTAGACCTGGTTGACGAAACACGCGAGTCAGCTCTTGTCAACATGGAAGCTTGCCGAACCAGAGCGGCTAGGAAAATCAGATCAAAGGTGAAACCTCGTCAGTTTCAAGCAGGGGACCTAGTGTGGCGAGTCACAGGTGAAGCACGGAAGGACAAAACCCAGGGGAAGTTAGCACCCAACTGGGATGGACCTTATCGGGTAAGGCACGACCTGCAAAACGGAGCTTACAAACTAGAAGAACTCAATGGGAAGGTCATACCCCAAACATGGAATGCGACACACCTGAAGCACTATTTTAGCTAGTCATTCTTATGTAATTTGTTTCGGAGCACTCTTTTCCTTTCTCAGGTTTTTTCCTCTTATAAGAATGTGAAAGAGGTTTTACTGACGAAAGGTTTTTAATGAGGCTCTACATCAATGAAACAACCTCTTTTATCGAAATCCTCTATCTGCTCAGTTTAAACAAATCCCTCCCGAGCACTCTCGCTCGGCCAAGGAAGAACACTATCCCCTCCCGAGCATTCTCGCTCGGCCAAGGACGAATAAACTATTCCCTCCCGAGCACTCTCGCTCGGCCAAGGACGAATACTTTAATCCCTCCCGAGCACTCTCGCTCGGCCAAGGACGAATACGTTAATCCCTCCCGAGCATTCTCACTCGGCCAAGGACGAATAAACAAATCCCTCCCGAGACATCCTCTCGGCCAAGGTTGAACAAAATCCCTCCCGAGACATCCTCTCGGCCAAGGTTGAAAAAATCCCTCCCGAGACATCCTCTCGGCCAAGGTTGAACAAAATCCGAGAGGCCATCTCGGCCAAGGATGAGAACTTAGCCCTTTCTGAGTACCTACTACTCGGTCAAGGGTGAGCAAAGTTTACTTCCCGAGGAACCTCCTCGACCAAAGTTAAGCCACCATACCTCTCCCGAGTACCTCTTGCTCGGTCAAGGATTAACAACTCAATTACCTTGCCCACCAATAAGGAGATTCCAACCCTATCGGCCAAAAGAAACATGGAAAATTCAAATCTCCCTCACAGATCCGAGCCAATTCGTTTATTAAATATGAATCACTCATAGTTAAAGTAGCACCTAATGTACAGAAACATAAAATAGAATCCGAATAGGAAAGAAGAACAAATTCATTAAGACTCTAAGGTCAAAGCGGCACTATTGGCCGAAGGGTACAGTCAAGTATGGCTCAGACGGCCCAATCGGCATGAGTGGCCTCGGTCTCCTCATCTTCATTCACGGTTGCTCCTGGATCTTCCGAGGGAGCCGACCTGGGTGGAGCCGCCTCATCCGGCTCAACGTCGTTGGGGGCATCAGCGAAGTCCATATACGCCCCTTGAAAGAAGTCTTTGCTCAGTTCAAAAGAGAAGTCTTGGGGAAAGGTTCCGAAATGGGTCGCCTGCCGAACAGCATGCCAAAACCCTTCCTCGTGCTCCCTGACAATCTTGCTCTCCACTTCGGCACGGAAGGACGCTAGGGCGGCATCATCTTCGGCCTTAGCCTTTTGCTCTCGGGCCGTGAGCTCTTGTACCTCTTGGACCCTCATCCGCTCCGCGTCTTCCACCGCAAGGGCTCGGCCCTCCATTTCCCCATAAGCCTCCTTTAGCCGAGCCACCTCGGCCTCCAACGTCAACTTCTCACTCGAAGTGGCCTCATGCGCCTCAACAGATTGTTGAAGGGCCGACTTGGTCTCGTCCAGACTCTGCTTCAGATTATGCACATCGGCCATAGGCTCTAAAGCCATCTTCCGAAATATGGTCGTGGCCCTCATATGTAGTTCACAGGCCATTGCCCACTGAGCCGAGGGAGTAGCGGAATCAAGCATATGATGTCCCTGAGCCGACAACAAATCGGACGACATCATCCGAGCCAATCGAATCTCCCCCGAAAGAAAATCTTTGGCGATGATGGCTGAAGGAACGACCAAATCAGTCGAAGAACCTTCAACCCGGCGTTGCTTCGGCTGAGTGGTTTTAGCAGTGACGACATCGACTTTCCTCTTCCCTTTGTCCTTTTTCCTTTTTGTCGTAGGATCCGGAAGAGCATTTACCGGAGGTGTTGGCCGAGGAGCATCCATGGCATTGGGTTGTTGGTCAATTGCCACGCTACGATGGTCCTCGGCAGAGGTCCCGGCCGGGGCTCGGCTTCTCATTAGTTGCCAGTACGATAATCCTTGACCCTGTTGCGCCATCCAGCCTGCAAAAGTCAAACAGTCACACATCAACTTAACAAGAACGACCAATCGGAAATATTAAAACATACCCTCTAAATCAAAACGAGGCCGAGACGACTTGGGCAGCAGCACTAGAAACAGAGCAGGGATGCACCTCGGTAGTCCTTTCAGGACATTTAAAGCTGACAACTCGGCATCGGTCATCATGTCCTCCAGAAAATCGTCGTATTTCTGAGGCTGCTGGGTCCAATAAAAAGGAAAAAGGGGTTTCTGCTCGGCATCATAAAAATAATTCCGGCCGGCAACGGGGTCTATGATTACCTTCACAAACCCCGACTTAAAACCCTTAAAGGACGACGTAAAGGGCTTCAACAACGGTCGGTCGACGTGCTGAATCAACGAAAGCCACTTAACGGTCTTATTAGATGGACGAGTACAGAAAAAATGTAAAAATAGACCTACGGTCGGCTCTATATAATGATATTTACAAAGCACTCTGAACGCTTGCATGTAAGCCCACGCGTTCGGGTGCAACTGCGTCGGGGCCACGTTCAAGACATGAAGGACCCCCATCTGAAAGTCGTCGAAGGGGAGCGACATGCCGAGCTCACGAAAGAAGCACTCATACATGTAGAAGTAGTCTCCCTGACCTTCCTGCTTCGCAAGAAAAACCAGGTCAAGCCCCCCTGGCCCTTCGGCCCGGCACTGACGCAGCATAATGGGATACGGATCCCAACCCTCCCATCGGCCCAACGTACAAAGACCGAGGAGTCGTATCACGGATGCCCTCTCATAAAAATGAGAAAAGTATGCCGCCACCTCACCATCCACCCAATCGTACCCGGGGATCTCACATGGAGGATACTTATGCCTATAATCCCCGGGGCTCATCTCGGCATCAGGTAAATCTGACCCGGATGAAGAACTTCCCGACTCCCCACTACGGTCAGGCCCCGACCCACTGGGACCCCCGAGTACTTCCACTTCGGCATTGAAGGCCAGCATCTCGGCCTCGACATCTCGCGCCGATATACTACCACTAGCCGACAACCCTGATGACAATGTGACACCTTCGGTGGCCATTATCGCAAAAAAATTGACCAAAAACACAAAAACCCACCTTTAGGAGTATTCGGCTCACAAGAAAGGATATCAGGGCAGTATTTACTACATAGGAGGCGTGAGGAATGGTGCCCCACCCCCACCCCTTATATAGGCAACCCAAGGCAACCCAAAGGTCTGATAATTAATGCCCCAAATGCGAAAAGACGTAACCCTTGGGTGCCAAAACCCAAAGGCGGCCACAGCATTCAACGGTCACTATCAAGATGACACACTTCCCAAAAAGCACGTCTCCAAAACCAAAACCCTAAAAAACCCCGAACCGTCTCAACACCTCAAAACCCCTTTGTCTTTCATCCTCGGGCTTGGGGGGTAGTGTACTAGTATACACCCCTTCGGTCAGACTATAGGTCGAGTAGGCTGCCCGAACCGACGAAACACACACCACAACACCCCTTCGGTTTGGGACTTGGCCGAATACACCCCTCGGCCAAAGGAGTGGCCCAAGGCTCACTTACCACGACAAGTGAAGGTGAATAAACACCCAACTAATCCCTCGACCACAAGCATAGCCGAACACCCACTCGGCTTTGGGCAAGGCCGAACACCCCTTCGGCTCTGGGCTAGGCTGAACACCCCCTCGACTCTGGGCTAGGCCGAACACCCTTTCAGCTACGATCATGACCTAATATCCACCTGACCCCAAAGGAACGAAGTATTCGAAGATTGAATGAGGAAAAGATCTCCAAAATACCCTTCGGCCTTGAGCTCGACCGAATAACCCTTCGGCTTCAAGCTTGGCCGAAGGAACAACCAAGTGCCTCGGTCATGGGCCTAGCCGAAGACCCCTTCGGCCTTGAACCTGGTCGAGGACCCAACAAAGGGACAGTTCACGTTAATAGCAAGGCAGATTAAGGTACTTGATAAGCAATGCTTGTTAGAACTAATCAAGAGAGATTAACGTTAACTAAGAACATTACCCATCTCGCAAGACAGAAGGCCCACCAGGCCCAAACACGTCACTATAAATACCCAGGTGATGGGACATAAAGGAGGTACGTTATTACCCATTATAAAGGCATTTATTACTCTGCACCGAATACTTACTTGATCGTCGGAGTACCTTTGCAGGTACCCTCCCCACCCTTTGGAGATAGTGTTCGGTCGACACTGAAGACAAGAAATCACGAAGGAGGAACAACAAGTGGAGTGTTTCTACACAGGAACAATATCCAAATATCATATTATTTATATAATAAGCGTGACATAAAAAATAAACATATAGGTTATTCCCGAGACCCGAGGAACTCATTTCTATCCAATTCATACATCATAGATGATATTC